TTATTGATTCTCTAGTCTTTAAGACAAGAAATCAACTCATGTCCCGCCATATCTCCCTTATGGTTTGGGACTTGAATGAAACTTATAATCCTTTTTTGAAGTGTCCAATCATTATCAACCAAATGAACAGTTAAATACAAATAACTAACATTTTGTATAGACATCCAACAATCAGTAGTCAAAGAAACTCTATGTTGACCCAATTCTTTCTTCAATTTCTTCGTCTCATTTAGGAACAAATTATATGTATCTTTTGCAACTGTCATCATTGAAGGAAACACAAATTTTGGGAAAAAATATCTTGTATAACCCTGAAAACCTTCCACCTCCACATTGTCGAAATGGTAACTTAGACAATATGAAGTACCTTGTAATCTATTCTCTAACTTCTTTTTGAACAAACTTGACAGGTTCTTCACGGCTATCAATACCTTTAGAAATCTCTCCGGTTTTAAACATGCTATAACTAGTCATTCTCTTTTGCTTTTTGTCTTGAACTCTATATGGATACTTCTTGCACAAATGCGTGAGATGATTTCACAATGTACTAGTTCCGCAATTTTTTTCATGATGCTTATATGTTTGTCCACAATAATTACATTCTGCCTTTTCATCTCTTCGCATTTTAAAATGATCCCACACCTCGGACCTTTCGTTTTCCTTTTTGCCTTTTCCATCCATTTTCATATCTTCAGGGTCATCCTCTAATGGAATCACATCATTGGCTTCTTCTGAAATTGGATTCATATTTGAAAAAAGAAAAAAAAAATGAAGGAAGCTGAGCTATGGAAAAGAAACAACGCGGTGATATAAGAAGAAAGCTATGGAATGAATTCTCCAATACTAAAATTTATAATAATTTTTTGTACATCGTGATATTAACATTTAGCATCATGAATAAATAAATCTCACAATCTATTTGGATTTTCAATAAAGTAAGGGTGAATTTATATCCTGTATTGTATTTTTACTGGTGTATATTCATTGCAATGCAAAGCACTATAGTCTACCTATTGATGTGGAATGTTTAGATTAACCAAAGCCTAATCATGTGAGCATTGTGCGCTCAAGTGCAAACAGCATGAGAAAAATACCAGATAAACAATAGAATAATATGGTTGTTCAGTATTAAATTACAAAAATAAAAAAAATGACACCATTCTACATCTACTAAACTAGAGTGCGCGCACACACACACACACAAAACTAAATAATCAAGTCTACATTTTATTCACTATCTTTATCCCATTTAAAATATTAAATAATATCATTATTCATTCGAAGTTAAGGGAAAATGAGAAAACAGAAAAAAAAATTCATTCAAAATTTTTTGCTCAAATAAGTTTTAAGTCTTCTTTTACAATTTTAGAGAGAAAAAAATTAAGGAGTTGTTCTCTTTTTGCTTTAGTTTTGTATTTTAAGTTTTGAATTCATTTTGAATTTTGTGTTTTGAGTGTTCATTTTGAAATTGTTGAAAATTTGTTCTTTTTGACATTTTGAAAAATTATTTTGAAAACACCAAAACCTCCTTTTGAAAATTTTGGCTTGATTATAACTGTAAACACTCGTTTTTGGTTTTCTTTGTAAATTTTTAAATTATTTTCGAAAATGCATTTTTGAAAGTAGGCAAGAGAACGTGTTTTCACTATTTTGAAAAATCGAAAACAGAAAACGGGTTAAAAATTATAAAGAGAACAGACCATAAGGGTTTTGATCTCGATTTTTAATTTCTCTTGTATAAACAAATTATAAAAAAATGTTTTGATACACAATGAAATGGAAGAGGGGCTCACATTCAAAGTCATCGTTAGTGGCAGTAGGCAGTGGTAGAGAAACGGCGTCGACAACAGCAGGTCACAAGCTTCAAGTTGGCATTGTGTGGCTTGCGTTGGCGCTGCGGGATAGAGTGAGGGAGTTAGGGATTGGTAACTTTGGCTTGTTTGTGTTTTTGCAAAGGCGTAAATGCATATATGGCTGAGCAATATTTACAATTTCACGTTCAATTCATTTTGTAATTATGGGCCTAATTTTTTTAATTTTTTTTAACGAAGGCCCAATTAAATACTAATGACAATGACTTACTGACTTATTTGTTATGCATGAATTAGGTTAATTAAATTTGGAGAAGTGCTACATGTACATAAATCTATATATAATGGTATCCATAATTACCCGTGGCACTGGATCCAACCATTAATTCAAATCTCACACTTTCACATCAACAACAGGATTTTGTCCACATCACATTGTGGACACTATTATGTACATATATTATGTACATGTAGACTTTTCCTTAAATTTGTACCCTTCAAGAAAGTATACTTTAAATTCTAAAAATTATACTTTAATAAATTTATATATGAGAATTTATAATTTAATAAAAATATTTTTTAATTAAAAAAAGTGCGGTTCGATTTTTTACGGTTTTTAAATTTTGAAACCTAAATCAAACCATTTTGAAACGGTTTGATTCGATTTGAGAGAAAAAAACTTTTACCATTAAGGTTAAAGAATGACCATTTGGGTGGCCAAAACGGTCACTTGGCCCATGAGCTACGAGCCGGTTCTTGAAAAAGTTTCAAGCTCAGCTCAGCACAACACATGACTCTTTCAATATGAATCTAAATATCTCATGAACCAAATCGAGACGATATAGTCTATAGACAATTCGACCCATTTGCCACTTTTAAATAAAAATTAAAAATTCCAACAAATTAAAATAGCCTTCCAAATGACACACCAAGTACACTAAAACTGAACTATCCACTTAAAATTAACAATTTCCAACCCCATAATTTTTGTTTTTATCCATTTCTTATCTTTTTATCACATTATCAACCATTTGCCTGTCGATTTTTTCTAGTTGACATTTGGATCGAATTTTATAATATTTATAGAAAGAATTAAAGTGAAATAAAAAAAAATTACCCAACATTTTTTTATAGAGCATAAAATTAACCCCGTTTGGTCCCCATTATTTGATATTATAATTTTTGGAATAATATTTTTTTGAGAATGTGTGATTGAAAAAGAAGAAAAGTTTTTGATTTATGTGTAAGGAAAATTAGCACATAATGTCCTCACCTTTCATTATTATTGCGGAAAACGTCAATACCTTTCATTTTTTTGGCATTTTCACTCTTATTTCCACCTTTCATTGTGCAAAATGTCATTTTCACCTATTTTCTCAATCAAAATTTAGAAAATGACGAATATACCATTCTCTTTAATTAAAAGAAAACAAAAAGAAAAAAATTAATTACAATCACAGTCTCAATTTTTTAAAAAAAGTTTAAATAAGTCACAAATAAATTATTAATAGGGCAATTAGCACATAATGTCCACACCTTTTATTTTTTTGGTATCTTACCCTTAACTACACATTTAATTGCGTAAACCATCATTTCTATCAATTTTCATCTAATTACTCATAAAAAGTCGTGAAATGACGAATATACAATTCTATTTAAATAATAAAAAAAATATTTTTAATTTCTAATTCTTTAATAATTTATTTGGGACTCGTTTGCACTTTTTAATTTTTTTATTTTTAAAATTTTTAAATAAATTTAATTGAGACTCGTTTGCACTTTTTAAAAAAATTGAGACAATGGTTGCNGAATATACCATTCTATTTAAATAATAAAAAAAATATTTTTAATTTCTAATTCTTTAATAATTTATTTGGAACTTTTTTGAACTTTTAAATTTTTTAATTTTTAAATAAATTTAATCGGGACTCATTTGCACCTTTTTAAAAAAGATAAATTTTTTTAATAATTTATTCTGGACTTGTTTGCATTTTTAAAAAAAATTGGGACTATGATTGCAATTAATTCTTTAGTTTTTTATTTAAATAGTAGGGTATATTCATTATTTCACAGTTTTTTATTGGAAAATTGGTTTAAAATTGATAGAAATAATGATTTGTACAATTAAATATGTAATTAATGGTGAAAAAAATGTCAAAACAATAAAAGGTAGTGACTTTTTTGTAATAATAGTGAAAAGTAGGGACATTATGTGCTAATTACCCTTTTAATAATTTATTTGTAACTTATTTGCGATTTTTAAAAAAATTTGGGACAGTGATTGCAATTAAATTTTTTTTCTTTTATTTAAATATAAGGGTGTATTCGTCATTTTATAATTTTTAATTGATAAAATAGGTGAAAAAAATATTTTGTGCAATGAAATGTGGAAATAAGGTTAAAAAGGAAAGGTAGGGACGTTATGTGCTAATTACCCTGTATAATATTATTTTATTGGAGAATGTGTGATTAAATAGAAAGGAGAAAAATGTATTATGCCCATGTTTGGCCTGCATTCTTAGCTGATTAAAATGAAGAAGCTGACCGTTATATGTACAGTCAATGGGGCCCCACATCTTGAAAGAAATTGGCAAAAAATTGACAAAAATTGGCAGCAGTCTTTCATTATCACTTGAAATGTCAAAAATGCCCTTTTCAGTAAGGGGCGGCAGCGTCTTTTCACAATTATATTTAATTGACTGCACATGTGCAATACAAAAATGGCTGCTATGGTAGGGCCCATTGACTGCATATAATGGTCAGTTTTTCATTTTAATCAGCCAAGATTGCAATGCAGGCCAAACATGCTCTATAAATTAATATGGGACAAACAGGGGACTAATTGGACTAGACAATCAATTTTATTCTTGTTCGATTCGATTCGATTCACTCACTATACATGAAATTATTTAGCCTCTCTTTAGCTTCATTTTATATAAAAAATTTTCTTCAAATTTTTTTTATTGAGTCACAATTTTTACCAACATTTTAATTATACATTTTATTTACTTTTATCAAAATCTAATAATATTAATTTTTTTTTTAATCTAAACATGGCTTTATTCTATTAATTGGATGTTACCTAATTATATTGTCCACGTGAAGCACAATTCCAGTATAGATTTATTTGGAAGTCTGGCAAAGACGTTGGTCAAAACCGAAACTAGAGGCTGCAAAGAGAAATAAGAGATGGAGAACGGTGCCGTGTTCGCAGGTCTTCAGCCCAATCCCGCCACCGCCCACCACCACCACAACAACTTCCTCGCCCCTTCAGACAGAGTTATTAAGCTTCTTCCTCCACTCCTTACCGTCAAAAGGCACTTCTGCCCTCAACCTCTCAAGGTACCATTCAACCACACCCTCTCTATGGTTATGTCATTATCGTTCCATTCCTGATTTGTGCCGATTTATATGTACTTTGATTTGATTTCCTGTGTTATATTTAAATTATGGAAATTTAAATGTATGCAGCTGCAAAAGCAATCTCATTTTGCTTCTTTAAGAGTAAATGACACTGCTAACGCTGTCCCAGTGGCCACACCCACCAGGTAATATTTTTAATTTAGAGCCAAATTTGTGTTTAAGTTATTGTGGACTGATTTTAATTTGTTGTAATTGTGGGTTTATTCTATTATTTATTTGGGCAGCAATGTAGCATTAGATTTAGCTGAAATTGATTGGGACAACATTGGTTTTGGGTTTATACCCACTGATTACATGTATATTATGAAATGTTCCCAAGGAGAAAACTTTTCAAATGGTGAATTACACCGTTTTGGAAACATTGAATTGAGCCCATCTGCTGGGATTTTAAATTATGGACAGGTCAGTGTTTTTAGTTTTATTTTGTAAGTCATCTTTTAGTTTTAGAAGTTGTTCTATCCAGGTTGCTTCGTTTACACTGAATTACTTTTTGGAAATTATTTTGTAGGGATTATTTGAAGGTTTAAAAGCTTATAGGAAACATGATGGCAATATTTTACTGTTTCGTCCCAAGGAAAATGCATTTCGACTAAGGACCGGTGCAGAACGTATGTGCATGCCTTCTCCAAGTGTAGAACAGTTTTTGGAAGCTGTAAAACTAACTGTTTTAGCAAATGAAAGATGGGTAATGTGACAATTTAACATTGCCATTTGAATTGTTATTATGTTGCATATAATTGGAATGAATGTATCTGCTTTGCTGTCTTCTATCAGATTCCCCCACCGGGTAAAGGTTCGTTATATATAAGACCATTGCTCATGGGGAGTGGAGCTGTCCTAGGCCTCGCACCTGCTCCCGAATACACCTTTTTGATTTATGTATCACCTGTTGGCAACTATTTCAAGGTATCATGACTGTCTCATGGATTATGTAGCCACCTGAATCAATTGCTTTATCATATCTTCTTTTTGTTATGTAATTCTATTTGCTTTAGGCTATCTTTCAATACAATTAGGAATATAATTTTTGCTCTTTTGCTATGTGTTTGATGCATGCTTACTAATCATATAACCAACTGTCGACTGATTTAATACATTCCGAAATCTGATTTATCACAACATCTGCTTCTAATGCTAATGAAAAATGGTGTATTTCTTGAATTTTGACTGTAACTACTGGTGGAAAGTGAGAAAGCACTATAAGTTAATTAGTTTGGCTTTCTATGCTCGGGTTTTGAGTCTATTAGAAATATTTTGTAATGTAATTTAACAAAGAAGTTAAATACATCCAAAAGGTCTCTTTTGATCAATGAACCATCTCTGCAACTTTTGGTGGTGTACTCAATTTCCATACCCTTCTCCTTTTAATAGGGAGATTAGAAAAAAGGAATAGAACTAGAAATACTGGGAGGAGGTGTAGAATTAACAGTTGAATTAGTTTGATTCTGTATCTCAATTTGACTTGGAGCTTGTCTTGATGCTCATGGTCTTGTAACTGATTCTTACAGACTTGATAATTACTTCCACACATGTAACAATATCCATAAATTATTCAGGATAAGCTGGATTGTTGAATCTTATATTGTAAGGCCAGGAACACACACAATATTAAATCGAAAAACAGAGATATGAAGATCTTCTCAGAAAAATGAAGTGCAGAAAATAAAGAAAACACAATCGATTCTTTCGGCCTAAGCCCTGGAGGTTCGACGACCACTTCTAACTCCTACATCCCTCGTTGAGCATCCAATAGATTGATTTGTGTTCGGTTCCACTATATTGCCCAAAATGACAACAAAGGTTACAAAATGTTCAACCAAATTACTGAGTACAGAACATATTACTTATCTTTCTAAAATACAATGGTCGATCTGCAAGATTCACGAAAGAATCTCCTCAAAACCTCATAAATAGCAACATGAAAGAACCCAAACTTTCTCACGAATATTCACTCAAAATATCACTAAACAGAGGCTAATTATTACAGATTGACCCTTCTCAAATCAGTAATTTGAGAAGAAAAACAGTAGAGAGAACAAAGCTAGAGAGTTTCCTTCTAAACGGTGTAACCAGAGAGAAAGAGAATGAAAACCCTAGCCAAACGAAAACACAATGAAAAGCTATACAGGGTTGAAGCATCCAAAAGGCAATCCAACGGTGCAGATCATAACACGTGTCGTCATCTAGTTAAAAGTGCAATTTTAATAAAGTTGCAACACCCAAAACACGACTTTAGGGCAAATTATGGGAGCACCGAACAGGGTTCGAATCTCACATTCTCCACTTGCTACCAGAATTTGGGATATAGTGTAGTACAAAGCATAATCTCAATCATTTTCATTTGCTCTAAGTACCTGTACATGTATTACAAATAATCACAGATAAAAGTTTCAAACAGTTTACAAACTTATTCAAAAGAATCACTTTTGAAATGATGTGTTTTCTTTATTTTTTAATGGATTACCTTGAGTTGAAACTTTTCCAATTTTAAGAATTCCTTTTGAAATGATGTCTCTTATAAAATGATATTTAATATCAATATGCTTTGTTCTATCATGAAATATATGATTTTTGCTCAAATGGATTGCACTTTGATTATAAGATAGCAACATAGCATGATTATCAACAAAACCAAGTTCAAACAGTAAACTATTTAGCTACATTTCCTCTTTTATAGTATCAGTAACAGCAATATATATTCTGCTTCTGTTAATTTTGAGGGGTTGTTCAATTGGTTACTCATTAGGTTTGCTCTCCAATGGTCACCGGTTCGAATCTTTTCATGGCCATTTAGGTGAGTACCCGACCGTAAACTTCAGGGCCCGTTGGATTAGTCGAGGTGAGCGCAAGCTGGCCGGACATCCACGGTTATA